CCACCTCGTTTCCGTCCTTCCACTATGGGGGTTGGTATCCTTTTTGCTAAATTTTTAGTAGGGCACTTTTACTATAGGCTGTTATATTATTGTAACTGAATATACAGAACAGTATGACAGACACTGTCATTAACCATCGAAATAGCTTATTATTTAATAATAATTATTGATATTGATTATATGCAAGACGTTAGAAAATAAATCAATTGCTTCAACTGATTATCTCATCTAATATCTACGGGTTGGCTTACGTGTGCAAAAAAGTACAGCAGTTCGGTAACGGTGCCAAGGGATTTATGAGTTTAATTAAGTTTTGCGGTCGCGTTTGTCTTCTGCTAGCATCAAATAATTGCTTATAACAAGTTTCGACAAAGTTTCTTCTTAAAGCAGAAGCCGTGCACGCACATGTACGCGATAGAGCGAACGAACGTTTACCAACCATACCCGAAGTAAACTGACTATATAATTAAAAGATTAGGTATAAACAAATTAAAAAACCAAAAAAAAATACGCAAACTTGTAATCATTTTTGTTCATTAAATATTGCGTATGTATAGTACAGTACCTAACCTAACCTAAAACCTGTCACAGCCAGCATAACTTCACAAGGGCTAAGTTTACTAGGCTTGTGTTTCCAAGTTTACTATACACGCCGGGTCATTGTCAGTAACACAAGTAAAGTAGGGGGTAGTAAGACAAGGTCGATGCGTGAGCGCAAATTGCGTCTAAATATTTCGAGTAGGGTAGGCGTAAGGGTTGTTTTCTTGAGAGCGTCGCAAGCCAATTAGTAAAGTGTCACAAACACTCCGATGTTAACAACCCCGTGACTTGGGGAGTCCTATCATTCCCGATCATTAAAGAGTTTATCGAGTAATATTTTTTTTCTCGTCTGTACAAAGCTCTTACAAAATCTGGTAATCGTCGAATAATTTAAACCGTAAACCATCAGCCATGCCAGTCGGCACCAAGAGATGTGCTTGTTCGTGGCCATTTCAGGTTGGACGATAATCGCGTGATTATCCGGTAGTTACGTGTGAAATTCCACGAGAGAGCTCTAACATTTCATGATTGTATGGATATATCGACACGTCGCGATGCCGGTACGTTTGTGAACAATTCGTACTGGCCGATAACCACGAGTTTACGTGTATATATGCATATATGCGCCTCAAGTACAATCACGAAATATATTTTCAAAGTATTTCTCCCTGCCGCACAAATACATTTCACAAATTTAATACCAAGAACAACTGTCACGACACATTCACAGCTGACAGGACCCAGGAATGATATCGATGCACAAGTACCTGAAGACAGACGAAATATTTGCTTGGTGTTGACGTTTTAGTGGTAACATAACCTATCCAGTAAAAGCTGCAAAGTGAATCTTCAAAGTGCACAGGTGAGTTGATCGGATACGTGCGTGAGTATATATTACAAGTATATATAATATGCTCACGAGAAAGTACTGGAGGAACTACGCGAGATAATCTAAACGGCCCGGTAAAAATGTTAAGCGCGGTAAAGTGCATTCCAGAGACCGTCCGAGAGCGCGGTAAAACTGTCGAGCACGTGGGAAACGCAAAATTCCCCTAACCAGTAGTACCAATGGGTATAGTAACAGTAGTAGCAACAGAAAGATATAGTGGTACGGTAGCAGTGGTTTTGGTGGCGGTGGTAGTAGCGGCCTACCTTGTCTTTTTAACGTGGTAACTAGCCGCATCTTGGTAAATAGGTAAAGAGCCACGACGCGGAACGCGCGTATGGCCGCCCTGCGAGTAGACTGATGACGGTTGGCCATAACGGCCGCAGGGAGCGCCACCAGTCTTTGCGAAGAGTTTCGCGAATTTTTCCTCGGGACGTTGACTAATGTTTTCTTCGTTCCTTTCATTCTTACCACTTTTGTCTCTATCTCGTTCTTTTGTGCCTCACGCTTGTCCATCCTCGCTTTAAAAGAGAGGAGAGTGTAGATATAGGTAAGCGCGGTAGGTATACGCGTAGGTAGCGCACGTAGACGTAGAGGCAGACAGAAGGAGTCTGCACAGAATATACAATCAGTATGATTGTTTGACACCCCATAATCAGCGTCCTTACCCCTACCATCTACCAGTTGCGGCTTCGCCGTTCGACGTCGCGGCGCTTGTTCCTTCTCTTTTCGTCCTCTCGACCTCCTCTTATTCTCTCTTAACCTATACACTCTACACTCTCCGCTACTACAGTCTTTACTCCCTACTCTTTACCATGTCTTTCGCCCTCTCATTCTCTCTCTCTCGCTCGCTATTAGACTCTCTTCTTCTCAGCATCTTCCTTGGAGTCTGCCACTGCGGGCCTCATTACCCCGATCACGACTCAAGATGAGAGTCGAGAGACGGACATGGTTATATTATAAGAGACACGAATAATGCGCACTTCCTTTTTTGCTGGGACGTCCACCGAGGCCATTCTCTTTTCCTTCGCATTACGATTCCCTTACGACTATCGATATTTCGAGTGCCGAGAAAAGGCATTGATTGGGAATAGAATAAAATATAGTACAGCAAGTATATCAAATTGTAAAATGCCGAGTGAAGATATATAAGTACGATCAAAATCCATATAGTGCACATGTGATACGATCCAGTCCACCAGTATGTCAGAAGTGAGTAGTATATCTTTTTTAAATAATTTGTATATCTGTATACGATCACTCCCCACATACTATAGCTATATATATTATTCTTATATTTCGTCCTGCATTGAAACCCACTCCGTTCCGTTTGCCTCTCCGCGATTATCCTCGCAACGATTCACCACTGGCCGCTAGCGCTAGCGAACCGAAGCACAAGATAAAAGGAGAAGCAATGCGAGCCGCGCGCAAAAACAACATGAATCCAGCGACCGATCGAACGAACGAACGAACGATCGTACGATCGATCGGGAACCGATCGATCCCTGGTATTACGCAGACGTGCGCGTGAGTCGAACGTAAGTGTACGATCCTGTCCGATCTCGACTCAAGACATTAAGAATCGGCAGGTCGTACGAGAAAAGGAGAGAAGAAAGTACAAGGAGAGTCGGGAAGATGGTAGGTGGAGAGAAAATTACTCGTCGGAACGTATACCCATCCACAATTGTGTTTCTCATCCCATCGTCAAATATATTTCGAGTGTTTCAGGAACGAAAGAAAAAAAAAAAAAAATAACAAAATAGAAAGAAACAAATGAGAAAAATATTGTTCTCCTTGGCAAATCCATTTCAGAAAAATCTCACTATAGCGTTCTGCCTCGCTACATCTGTATATACACCAATTAATAAGTCATACGAAAGACACGTCGCGCGAAACGCTCCGTACGTAGCACGGATGCCGAAGTGCTGTCTCGTGCAGGGTTGCAAGGATAGCGATGGTGAAGGTGACGGAGAAGGTAAGGCAGGGTAGAAACCGCAACGCAGCTTCAAAGAGGTCTTGCCAACACAGGGCGCGTCTACTTAACTTTGATCAGCTCGAAACCACTGATGCGAGACTTACCGATGAGAAAAATACGTGAAAGGGATACGCGGACTTCTACTTCTTCCTTACTGTTCTTTCTCTCCACCTTGGCTTTTCGCTCCGCGTATCGTCTCGCTTTCCTCGCTCTCTATACACCTTTCTATACGCGCTGCTACCAGGAGCACCGATCATTACACGTCTCTCTTTTATATATCCGTGCCTATAAGTTATATACCCGCCGAATTACCAGAGCGGTTCTTACTCTCCTTCTTATACACATTCTGACAATGCACCTATCCTAGTTCAGAGACGAATACTCGCTCACCGTTTCGCTTAGCCATTCCTTCTTTTGCGTTATTCGCATCCTTAATTTCTATTGTTCTCATTGACTTTCTTCGACGCAATTTTCTTATCTTGGATAAAGAAGCTTGAGCCATTCGAGGGTATCTCGACTGTTATAATCTTTCAATGCTTTTTGTTCGGCTAATACTGTGACTAATTCTATTTTAGTCGTGCGATTAAACTTGTTTCGTCGTTTTAACATGATTTCTCTTTGTATTTCGCTAACTCGAGATTCTAAAACTACTTAACGGACAAGTCGGACTGCTTCGCGAAATGGTATTAGGCGTTCCGGCGGGACGCCTCGCTGTCGCGAACTTTCCTGAATGCCCGGGACAGTACGACGCTTCGATACGGCAACGGTGTATCGTATCGGCGGGGAGATGGAACGGCAGGTTGAATATCGTTATTACGTTGAATTAGAGGTTGCAGAGCCGGAACGAGGTATGAAACTATTACCTCGCGAAACGGCGCAGCCCGACGCGGCCGTCGCGTCGCTTCGTGAAGCAGAAGGTAGTCGGGATGAGCAGGCTTTACAAGGTGTAGGTGAACGTTCAGCTACCAACACCAGCCTTAAGAAAGAAACGAAGAAACGAATAAACGACCTACCTACCTATGTATCTGCCTCTCTACTCGGTCAAACTTCTATTTGCTTATTTTGTCGAAGCATCGACTGTGTCGCGTAGTCTTCAAGTAATTAAAAAAAGAAGCTGCGGACAAGGCAACATTTTGAATTTTCACACTTTTAAAATCGTAAATTACACCACATCAACATGTATCCACTGCCTCCTTAAGATTCGAGTACACCCTCCGTATCGATAACAATAATTTAAACAGCACTTCCACAATGATAATTTTAAAATTAAATTTCTTCTCCATTCCAAAAGCATCGAGTTGAAGCGCCTCGACCACCCCATGCTGCTGCTCTCGGGTTAAAGAAGAAATTTGCCATCGGATTCCACGTAAAAATGTACACGTCACATCTTACCTTCAATTTTGAATCAATTATCCTAAAAGTAATATCAGAATGATCGTCAGCCCTACGGAATGTGTGATCGACTGCCCTCAGTGTGAAAGTACCAACCAAGATCGTGGTCTTTACAATGTTCGATAAAAAAATTGAAAATGGCTGTCCATAATATCCGATCCCTGTGAACGGACAATACACGAGAAAGAAAATAATCTAAAGACTCACCACCATGCTGTGGACTATGCTTGTAGCAATCCTGATGAGCAGAAGGTCCCGTGCCCGAGGTGAGATGGCCCGCGGATGAAGATGAGGTCGTAGGATTGGGATTAGGATTGCAGCCACTGCCAGGTGCGTTAGCGTTCCCCGTGGGGTTGCCGGTAGCGTTTCCACCCTGGTGACCGTGGAGATGGTTGCCGTGGTGGTGATGCTTGTTCCTCCGGTAGGATTCGAGCTCCCGGAGGTGGGAGGTGAAGGAGGTCGGTCCATCGAGGAACGGTCGTTGTCCCAGACCAAGAGCTCGGAATTGTTGATGCTGCTGTCCTAGTAATTAAAAGTAAATAATGGAATAATAAAATTAATAATAACAATAACCAAACTTAAACGTCCCTAATCGCATCACTCGAAACGTGGATCCATTATTATTCATTCGAGAACATATATGTATACATATACGTATATCCTTCATTCTCTACTCCGTATCGCTATATCACTCCCTCCCCTCTCTCCTCTCTCGCCCTCCTGCCAAGCACCAGAGTGGGAATTGTTTGTACAATTAGCGAGATAGTAGGATGATTAAGAAACTCGACCACGTTGCGTCCCGTTTGACTTCAATAGCATACCATGCGTGCCACCCTCGGCAAGCTTTCGCATCCGATATACCACGTGGGGTATACCCATAGGAGGTGCTTCCATCGTCAAACCACCCCCGATTTACCCCATGGAATACTGTCCCTACAGAGAAGCGGCGTTTGGTTATGGTTGGACCTCTAAGCCGGTTAGACGGGTTTATTACGTAGACCCCTGTCGTAATTGACAGTGTCTATTGCTGTATATACACCCCACACGTATCCCGTATCCTACATGCGAGCACATACTCCCACACTTAATATTTCTACTTCTACCCTTAACGCCTACCAATTTCTGCAGCATCTTTCATTACAAATATAAAGACACAGATGCTCAAGGAGCATCGAATCTGTATACTCTTACTATTTACATGTTCCGACCCTATGTATATTGGCACTGTATACAGCATACATATGCCCCGGTATCACTATATATCCCCATGGGATACTGACACAAAGTTCAAATTGTATTAATTCGCTGAGACACCGTGGCTCGCGTTACGAACGAACGACAAATAAAGTTCGACCGCAAACTGCACGAAATTGTCGGCGAAGCCCAGATGTTCTGATCCGGCGCTCGATACGATGCGGTACAAGATTATTGTTCAGCTACCAACTATCGACTACCGACTACCGACCGTACCTACCGGATCCCACGACTTCTCACGTACCGGACGTGAGAGCCGTAATGCCCCAAACATATCGCTACACACTCCGGGGGCCCGTGTTTTTTGTCCTGTTCTTTAGGCTCACCCTCCTGAGATCTTCTAACAGCCTTCACTTTCGAACTCGTATCTGAACTCGTTTCCTTTACTCTTTAACGAAGTATAGAGTAAGGAGGTATGCAGACAGTTTTACGATTTCACGTAATACCATCGAATATGCATATCTATGGATGATACTTGACCGTGGAAAGGAATTTTTCAAATGTTTTTCATTTTAAACATTATCTGTTATATGAATTATGAATCGTATCCTTGTTATCTACGCTACCTCAATTTTATCTCATCCACGCAAATCGCCAATGACCTCACACATCGTATATCCCGATCAGGCCGTTTACGACTCTAGGTGCTTTGACAAATCTGAAAACTGTATCTCGACTTAACATTGTCCAGCATTACGTGCACGTTCTACGTCCAGGAATGAATGAGAGCCCGCGTAACGCGTAAGCGCGCAAAGGCAGAGAATCGGTGTAACGCCATATAACGATGGGAGCTTATCTAATCAAAGTGCGGCCTAGAGGACGGAAATAGCGCGCCTTTCCTCTACGGGCCACTCCCCGCATCTTAAGTTCTCCTTAACGGTTCGCTCAGAATTTCATGAATTTTGCGTAGAAATACAGACGGCAGTAGAAAGCGTGCGGTAAGAGTGAGAAAGTATAAGAAATAAAGAAAACAGACATCAGAACCTATAGGACTCGTTATACGTATGTATCTTGCACGGTGTACAAGGGTCGCACGCGACAGAACCAGGCATATCCGGGTTATGGGTGGTGCTGGCACCCATGGTAGTAGGGGAAATTTCGAATCGAAGGGCGAGGGACGTACTGGCACGAATTATAAAAATTGACCGATTACGTCGTATTACCACGAGGTAGAAACAATTTCGATAACAAAAAGCTCACTCACGATTATCGTCGTAATGAACGACGGCAGGTGTTTGCGGGCTGATGCGTGCCATTGTCATGAACCAGAGACAATACCATGGCGGTTTGTAGTTCGAGGCAAAGGTACCAACCGGACCCAGGGTATTGTCTAGAGGCGTGCGAGGCGCACGCTACGGCCACCCCGTGTATGCAATATGTTGTTCGCTGGCCGGACTGGCCCATTCGTGCATACCGTCTGCTAGGGCCTTACTCCCTGCCGTTTTCACTACGAGTCGCAAACATTTTCACGGGACCATACCGAGGGTCGGAAATATTTTTGAAATTTCAAAAAACTTCGGTAAAGCAAATTTTTTGGAATATCCCAAAAATCAGTATCCAAGAATTACGACATGCGTCATCGGTGCCAGAGAATTTCATGGATCGAGGTAAACGTGCCTAGTGCAACTACGCATCAATACTTTATTCCGGCAAATGCGAAATAGCCGCAAACTCCGATATTCGTGGTGGAATCGGTAATGGCTATTAATCAGATATCGAAATAAATATTATTTTTAATTTACTTCTCTTTTCAGTCTTTAATATTACTCGATAGATATACCTGCCTCCGCACGAGTCTGCCAGACTCGTTCCCGGGATATGTGTATTATAATACTGTACTAGCTATATCTATATTCTACAATCTCCTATGTATACCTAGAATAACATTCATGGATGCGTATACATGCGGCGGCGCACACGCGCGACACGTCGCGGCCACTGCATCATCGTTGCACCATCTGCTCGGTAATGACTCCCATTACCACGGGCAACTTTCCGTAAATTATCGCCGTTTTCTACAAATCCCTACCGGCCTGCTCCAATCTACCCTTGGCCGAGCGCTAGGAGCGTTAGAAGATTGAGCGTCAGATGGTACTTTCAATGTTCAATTTTTATCGCAAACTTTATGATGGTGATCACCCTTTAACCCCCAGATCCCAACCCCTCTGCCCCCTGAAACTTATACTATTGTATACAATATTACTTCGGACTTACTAGTCTTAGATCGGGGTTCTCTGGGTCCGTCAACAGTCACCTTGATCGCCCTGGTGTAAGTAGCCACCTGGGGCGGCGTCGTCGAGACAGTTATAGTAATACTGAAACTCTTTCCTGAAAGCAGAAAATAAAGTAAATAGTCTCAGAGAATGAATCGTAAACGACTATGTATATATAAAAAAAAAGTAGTTCGACGTTTTCAAGAGGGTTGTCGGTTCTAGGTGTTTTAGAAATAAAAGTTAAAAGCCGAAGCGAGGAACGAGAAATGCGTGCATATATCACTGGCGAAGGCCTCGAGGTGGAAGGTCCGGTATATTTAATTCCCTCTCCATAAATGTCCGCCAAAGAGATTGACTACGCGTTCTTAAACGCCCCGTCGCCCGCTAATATGCATTTGGTAATTCGCTGCTCCCAGCTTCCTTTGAGCACCTAAACGCCATGGCGAGAATGCCGTGTCCAGACGTACACGTCTATCGTCTATCCTGCTTTCCACTCTGGACGTATGATTTTAACAACAATCATTTATCGGGTTATCAATTTTAAATCCTTTGACACGCGGTGCCGATTTTATTAGTAAATTAATTCTATTTCCCTTTGATACTTAATGTCTGTGATATACATGTTGGTTGCTGTGATACCCACTATGCCGGTCCTATAGCATTAACGAAAGTACCGTTATCCATTTGATCATCTATCGGTACTCGAATTCTTTGGATCGGGAACGATTGGTTAACCAGTCAGCTAATTTTTCTTCGGAATTCGACAATGGTAACGTATCGCGTATAGAACCGTCGGACTGGCGTAACGTCAACAATTTATAATTGTCTCCCTTTGGTCGACCCTGCGCGAGGTCGGAACCACCCTGATCCACCCCGCTGTGTCTGTCAACATGATAACCGGCATCAAACACCCTCCACCCTCCTCTGTATGGCCATTGCACCCCCGCGGGAACTGCAACTGACTGTAACAGCGTTATATCCCAGTTGTATCTCCCGCCAGGTTGATCCTCTGTTTCTGCCCAGCGGTAGATTTCTCGCTGTAGCGCTGATCATCCTCATCCCGTTACCCAGGAGATAGTCATCGTCCTCGTAAGTGAAGAACCCAAAAATGCAGTTGTTCTTTGATAATCGGAACCTATGATAAAAGAGGGATGTAAAAAAGAAAAAAATAATCGGCGAACCAGATGCAGGGGGGAGGGGTATAAAAATGAAATAAAATCCTGAATTAAGTCGACGCCCGGCGTCGCGGTGTCTCGGTTTTTTATTCGTCAAAATATATCGAGCCCGGCAGTGTCACAGAAACGAAGGGTGCCACCCCGGTAGAGTCCATCGCATTTGGGGCTAATAATGCTGCACAGCCGTCCCGTGCCCCGACCTGCGGTTAATACTCGATGATGGGAACGGTCATCTGCAGAGACAGGCCCCGGACCCGCCTAGCTATGCATTCGCGGCTGGACAGGCAAAATCGGGCCACGCGTATGTGGGATACACCTATGTGAATGAGCGTGAACGTTTCCGCACGAGTAACTAGTTTGGTGTGTTGGGATGCAACACCGAGATGAGATGAGCGTTGCATCCCCGTGCCAATCCACCCTGACCACTCCTGAACACCCCCTGCTCTCACCCTGACTACCCTCCCGCACGTCTCGTGCACCCTCGCGCCCGACCATTCCCAAAACCACTCGAAACCATCCGTTAATACTCGCGGTGGTGAACGCCGTACACAGGGGATGGGCTCGGATTGTGCAGAGAGAGAGAGAGAAAAGGACATAGATAGGGAAAGAGATACAGATCAGAGGTGATATTGAGGATTCGTAGTAGTGCCGGATGAGGGAACGGGTTTTCACGGTAGCGACGCAGGGCGCAGGGGTGTAGGCACAATATTCAGGGAACAGCCCGAGTCAGCCGACAGGATGTCTCTGGAATTGTCAAATAATTACTATCGGTGGCAATTTCGGTCGTGTAGATATTACCGCGGTATATTACTAATTGTGGCCACGAGCAGAAACGGCAAACCCTCCCCAGCCTGTCGGGGGTGGTTCCAGCTCTACTGGACTCTCGTTTGTAGAAACTATAGTGTACGATAAATTGGATACATGCAATGTATTTTTATATACATGGAACGAATCTGTATATATATGTATATATGTATAATATAATATGTATATAGAGTATAATACTCGCGGGGCAACCGGTGAACACTTAAATTAGTAAACCGTCAAAACAAACAGCATGGTTCGTTACGTTTTATCGACTGCCTGTCTCTTACGCTCTCGTTCTCTCGTCCCGTCTCTCCTTCTCTGTCCATTTCGACTGCTCTCAATGTTTACCCCATTCTCTCTTTATCTTTCTCACTATGAATTGTCGCGCACGGTAAAACGTCCCGGGAGCGATTCCATCGATCACTCAAATTGGGGATTACGGCAGTGCGAGTGTCGCGGTGATGTCAATAGAAACAAACAGCAATATAAAGAAGGAAAGGTTGACAATACGAAGTAAGAGTGAAAGTAGAAAATCCCGTGGTCGGCAACGATAAAGGGGCTCGTATCAAAGTGCACCCCGAATGCACGAAATCCAGATGGATTCGCGTAACAACTCTACATTCACAACAGAGATTCACAATCATCCAGCAGCGGCCGGCATCAACCAACTTCCCCTTAATGGCCGATGGCCGACGCGATTCGGCTCGGCTGAAATCGTAATGCAGTGCGAAATGTCAAAATGACGTGAAAGATAGATGATGCCATCCGCGGCCGGCTCGTTCGAGCGGTCAACCCGACAATGCATAACGCAGCCCGATCGATCTATATAGTATACACTGCAGGCGACATACTTCGCGAGATGGAGAGCCAACTGGCGGAGATGAATAAACGACTGTCATCGTCATCGAATTTGAATCAAGCCGGTTGTCCAGCTTTAGAAATAGTATGTAAAACCCAAAGCGGGAATACTTGAAATATCGTAACGCTAACTCTCATGGAATTGACTTTGCAGGCCGTTCGTACGGCATCCGTGAAATCGGCTTGATGACCAGATGATTTCTGATTAACAGCCAGTTATTTACAGTGGCTGGGGCTCGTAGCGGATGTCGAGTAATGACTCTGGGGCCAAGCTTGCATTGGGAAAGGGTTGTTCGGATAACGGGGTGGTACGTATTGCATGGGTGGTAATGGGCGTCAAAGGAGGAGGGTATTATTCTATGATGATGATGATGATGGTAATGATGATGACGATGACAACTGTGATTTTGCCCAGGGCTACTGCCTGTGCGCAGATTCGATAATTCTTCATTTGTCTGTTTGAGGTTGGTGGATCATCGTACATTGTTGTGTTATGCGAATATTCGAGCTGCGTACTTTTGCCACTGGTCCCATAGTATCTATGGGAAATTTATGGTGTCATTAGGGAAAACTCACCTCTACCACTTCTACCGACGAATCTGAGATCGTTGAACTTCGCCACTTGATTCTTCATTAGTGCTGTGGAGTTTCGTAATTCGGCACATAGGTTCTCGTCGTTGCCCGCCCTTACCGTTACGGGGGTGCCGTCTTCAACTTCCCCTAACGCTACGACCTTGAACGCTACCGGTAGCGTTTTGTTTGATCTCCAGTGAGTGGGTAATTGACTGCATAGGAAATACGGTGAACCTGTCGAGTGAGAATTACTGTATTAATTCAATGATACGACACTGTCTACTTCAAGATCTACCCGAAATCGATGTTTTACTCTAATTCACACAAAAAAAAAGTAACCATACGGAACCAACCTGTCCTAACCAATTCTCCAGGATGTTCAGCCTGAGCTTCGCCAATGCGTCCTTCGGTCCACCAGAGTTCACCAACGGCGGCACTCTCGCTCATATCGCCAGCTCCGTCGCCACCACCCCCAAGGCCTTCGCAGCCACCAGCACCACCACCACTAGCACCAACACCACCACTACCCCCACCGCCACCCCCAGGTCCTCCACCGTCGTCTCCCTGATATCTTGAGTTAGCTCCCTGATGAGGCGCAAGAGATGATCCAATCGGACCGGCGCCCTCGTGGGATCCAACGGAACCGAAATTCTCCCCGCAGCCAACGGATCCCACCGGGAGATGCATCCCACTGGCCACTGTAACCAACCCCTCTTCACCAGCCAAGGCCGTGTAGTTCACCCTGAGAGAATAAGCGCCCTACGTCGATCCTTCAGGATGTGTTCTTCCTGGTCCCCCGTCGATCTCGACGACACAACCGATATCCGGTGCTTATTAAAGATCAATCAATATCATTCGCTCAAGTGTGTCTTTCGTAAGAATTCTCAAGCCGCCCAACATCTTGTCCCGAAAACAACCCCAAGTCACGTTGTACACCCTAAGACAGGATGTATCCTTCTGCAAGAGGAATTCGACCTCGTGATAATAACCGGAACTCATCCTGATCCATGTCTGATAGTTTAGTGCAGGAAATTACTAACATGGGTAATAATAGTAATAATGATCTTATCGATGTCTATCAGTATCCATGTCTCACACTGAGTCCAATCTTTATAATTGGTAAACCGACCTTTATGATATATAAATAAAGTTCGGCCACGTGCTTTCTACACGGAACGTGTGCTAGTTGTTAGATCGCTCGTTAGGATTCACTAGAGATACGGTACATCCCCATTAGCACTGCATAAACGATCTTCACTAAACGGAAGCTTAGTCTCCATAATTGGCTCCTTGTAATACCCTCTATCGTCCTTATAAAAAATTTAAAAAAGGGGACTACCGAATCTCAATATCCCACTATCAGCGAAGCGTGCCGAAGGCAGTTTAAACGATCATCAGATCGCTTCGCTCTATAACTATTTTCTTTTGTCCAACGTTAAAAACAGGGAATTACGATCAGTTTACGCGGCTGAATTCGCGCACGCACGCAACCCACACATAGACCGTAGTTGCTCTCCCGTGTCGCTTGATAATCGGCACGGACTCGCGGTTTTCTTTAAACTTCAAGCACTCCGTTACGGTCGCACGTTTCGCTGACAATGACTCCCTCGCGTAGACGTACGTATATACGTATAGTGTATAGATATGTTATATATAAAATTTTTAACAAATTTTTTTTCCTTCAGTTATTTCACACTTCTTAATTTGTTTAAATATTTTTTAAATCTCAAATTTCCTCACTTCAAAATTCACAACGAGCCACGATCTTATGGTCGTCCTGCTGTCTCTTCACAATACGCGTCTTGTCCCAGATAGCGCACAGATCTGCCCGCAAGATCACAAACGATACACTGTAGCTGAGTCGTTGTCGGCAGCGCGCGACGTAATGCCGCGGAGTACGGGCAGCGTGCCGCGTGTCCCGCGGAAACGGCCTGGGTTCAGCCCCAACCGCTGGAACTCTTCCCCGTCGCCCCTTGACCTTCTCCTACTGCTCTCGCCAGACCATCCCACTCCTCCTTATGTCCCTACCCTGCTGCTGCGCCGACTGCCACTACTATCGGGCGGGCTCCCGCCTTCGATGACGTAGCTACGACAGGACCTTGCGATCCCAGCAAATCTACCATTCGTGCTCCTGATATACCTTGGGTCAACGCAGCATCCCTTTATAGAAAACACTGTGCAAGGATGATACAATTCTCAACAGTGATAGAAACAGGTGTTTTCGATCATGACCTTTGACATGACTTAACCTAAAATCCCTTAGCATCTTTATCATAACCATAATACGCATTGCACCCTTTGTTAATGAATAATTTAAATTGACACCCTTGCTCTACAATAAACTATGTACTCTGCAAAAATTGCTATACTTATGACTATGGGTTAGGGCAGGAGTTTTATAAATCAGTAAATTTATATAAGCTGAATTAAAATACTATCCTTCAAGTATTCCAATTGGGCCTTACTGTTTTTTTATACCGTAGTTACGTGGTGGGATCATAGCACGAAATTCCCAGTGTTGTCGGGAGTTTCCCATGATGGTCCAATCTTTCGGCTACGGGCATCACTGAACTGCTGCTTCAGGCACAATGCATACTCATACTTGGAATACACGGAAGACACAGGGGCCCAGTTAAAAATGCATACGCAATCCAGGTAAACCCCAAATAATGAAACTGAATGCGTCACTATAAGGTGCATGTAAATATATCGGACACCCGTGACTTCCCCTCTTTCCATGTCCTTTATAATTTCTTATTAAAACAGTAATTTCAATCCAACCATACCACAGAAATCTTATAATCAATTTTCCATGGAACGAATTAATAGTCATCACTATTGCACTATAAAGCCTAATTTAAACTGTGAAAACTCTCGGCGATCGAATACGCGCAAAATACGCATAGGATAATTAATTCAATTTCTTGATATGCGGTCGGGACATGTGCTTACGTAATGCGCTCATGAGGAAGCCAGATATTTTCTTTAGTAGTGTATAGCAGGACTACACGAAGGTCATACTACAGTCAGTCCATAAGTTCAATGTGTTTTTTTACAGCTCGCAAAACAATGCAATCCTTAACAAATCACAAGTGGATGTTCGTAAAATTACGTAAATAAAATTCTAAGAAAGTGTAAAATTTCATAAAATTTTAAGAGAGACAAAACATAATTCATTACAAAATCAAGCACATGCACATTTAAAAAGACTTGCTGAGACTTTGTTTTCGATCTGTCAAAACATATATCGAACTCGTGGACCGACTATAGGTATATGCATACCTGAGGATGCCCTATCGAAGACCTACTATGGCCTTTTTCGTATTAGGGTACAGCCTGACGAATTTCTACACGGGTAGCAGATGCCTGGTGGGACCTCTGTGGTTATGAGCAAGGCGTAACAAGTGTCCGTATGACGTCATCTGGCTTCTAGAGGCGGAGCCTGTGCTAGGGGGGGAGAGGGGTGCGGCGATGCGCTTGCGAGCGACGGCAGTCACACGCCCACGACGCTAGGCTTCTTAGCCTCATTGGGACTTTTGCCACTTTTCCACTTCACCGTCGCTGCCACTTCCTATCTTTTTTGTTAGGCGGGATATACCAAGTCACTTCAATCGACTGAAAGGTCTGTGTCCTTTGACATGACGATTGACGATCCGAGTCGAATACCTCGGTGAATCGGTAACGCTGAGTGAATAAGTATTGGCAAGGGTCACCAACCGACTCGGATCATGGAATACCCTGGAAACTGGTGCGTTATTCTTTCTGGGAAGTGTCGGGATTTCTGCTGACTCTTTCTTCTCACGAAATAGCATGTAACGAGATAACGAGTCGTTTCACTTAGTTTCTCCATAAGAAAATTTTTTTAAATATATTGCTTTTTGCATTTATCTGTATAAGTACGTATTATATTTTTGAAAATGAAAATTTGTTTATTATCAATAAAAGCTATATTCAATTTTAAATTTAACGTAATATTTTATAAATAAATAATTACTATGTCAGATCTCAATTTTGTCATACAGACCATCTATGCACGTAATCACTCTTTGCAAGTACCCAAGATGAAGTTGAATATCGTTACCTCAGACGAAGTACCTACCTCCAAGGTTCTATCTGAGAGACGTAAGTTAATCCTATGTCCAGCTAAAGCCGAACTAATGAGCTATAAATAAGGGCTGCTCTAGGTGGATGCCTACACCCGTTGACCCTTGTAATTAAAATCCCTCCCTAAATCAGGACTAGGGCCCGATTAGATGACCACCCGTGCCAACCTAAGCCCAAATCTCAACCCTTACGTGGACCCTTCCTTTGCTACCCCTTACTTATACTCGGACGCTCACTACCCCGTCCCGATCCAGTTTCAACCCTTACGAGTACCTATTGCAAGTGCCTTTTTCCGTATGCGGTAAATTTGACAATCGGGATTTAGTCCCGCCAGGACGACCCGCTTTCCCGTAAAGGGGTTGCTCCGTCCGCACCGTTCAATTTTCCATCCCCCTAACGTATCACGATGGACCGAAGTCAAAAATTAAGTACTAGCGATTCCAGTGAAATTCTTTCGTGATTTTTTTTTTCTACATTTTTTTCCCCTCATATCGCAGGAACAGGCCAGTAGAATTTCCGTAAGTGGAGACACGCGACGAAGTTGCGGTGTTACGCTACATCCGCCGTCATGCTCCGTTAACTTGCAGACATCAATCTTGAATTTACACAGCTCCACTTGCCTCACTTATCTCACATTTTGATACAGCTACGCTTCGTCCATTTCTCTTCTATAAACCGTCCCCCGCAACAAGGAATATCTGTACTTTCGTCCCTTGAAACTCACGGTAGCCACCCTACTCTATATAGTCTGCTAATAAGCTTAATAAACCCTCCGCGCAACTGACTCGTTACTCTTCTCCATCCACAACGTTTCCTATGGAATTTAGATTCTGGCGATACAGGGCTGTAACTTGGTTTTGTATGAAATTAATTAAAATTTCGTATAATTAACACAGTCTCTGAATACCGCATAAAATTTTATATAAATAAAATATATTTATAGCCACTTCAGTGTTACACGCTATTTGAATATGAAAAAAAAATTTGTACTCAAAAAAATTATTTACTTAAATAAATATTAATTTTATTGCCGTTCAACGAAACTATTATATGGCAATACTGGGTAGGGTTAATCCGAGAATTTAAAAACAAGGGAAAGAACAACCCTAACGAGAATTAAATCCGACGATCTTCTCTCAATAGGGCCGTCGTCCTAGAGGGGATGGAAATTTATCGCTTCTGCTTCCCTGCGCTTACAAGTGCGGAGAGTGTAAGCTTCGAGCTGGGCGAGGTCCAGCTTTGAGGACATCAAAAGGATTACCAGGCGACAGTACGCGTCTATGTGGGACGAGAGGGAAAAAGAGATGGTCGCCCCGCGTTTGTATTTAAACCCTGTAAAACTCGACGCTTGATCCGTTTTAAGCAAATAGCAGTCATTACGTATAGATATAACGGTAGTGTAATCTTTTCTCTTCATTATCTCGAGCTTCTGCAATGTCACTCGTAATTCGGCATTCACGTGAAAACGATACGAATCAGATTGTTTTTTTTTCTTTTTTTTTTCATGCAAACATATTTCACGTATACCGGAAACGCAAAAAATTTTATATGTATATACATATGTATCGATGAATGGATTTGAGTTTCAAAAGATTTTTAGTGGTTTCATTTATCGTGCGAGACGGCTCTTTCATTTAAGTAGTCAATGGCGTGCATGGACTTTTAAAATGTCTGATTCATTCTTCGCCAAGTCGATGTCTCTGTACTAAAGGATGTTGGGATGCGGTACACGTGATTGGTAAATATTATAAAATTATCGAGGCTATTGATAAACAAGTTGTTAGTCGCAAACCGCGAGAGATCGTGTGAAATCTATGCCAATCATTTCCTCGTATCGTGATACAGGAGATAAGATTCTCGTAATGCGATACGGGAGGTTACAACGTGTCATGTAGTTTCTAGGACGTCGTATGGAGTAGCATCTCTAATGATTTGTATACTTCGTGTTGTTACGATCAATTGGTTATGCTTGGATCAATTTCAGCGCATTGATAAAAGATATGGGTAATTGGTAATTGGTGAAATAAAAAGTGTGTACTTATTTTCTCTCATGTCATTATATGCGATAATTGCTTTAAAGTCTTAATTTTAACAGTTAGAAATTGTTGATCAAGTCGAATAAAAAATTTTGCAAATTATTATAATGCTATGTAATGTGCGGTAAAAGAACTTTTTTTAATCGAATTCTGGAATGCACTTACGTATTCGTGCAGCGAAATTGTGTGCTTGCACACTGCATATGCATTTATGATAATGCATCTTTTGGTTTTCCCTGAGACTTCGGTAGGAGTGGATCTCAACTGTGCACCATCCAAATATACACAGGGTAACTATGCACCGAAAAACTGTACACGGAAAGCAGTGCATCGATATGTATAATATTCAGATAACTGAACGATGCACCAGTTTCTTTCCCCGATCTGAAATAGGGCACCACTATTTAAAGAATAATCACTTAAAAAAAACTATACGGCAATTTAAAATAAAAATTAAGCATTAAAATTACATGGTTTTATCTTTTTACAATAAAAATGGAATAATTACATAATTATAAACAGCATTTAAGAAACAACTTTTATGCATTGAAAACAAATTTTTACTTCTTAGTACTAGTTCTACTATTGCTTGCACAGTTATTAAACTGTCGTGCACGATTAAACGGTGCATAGTTCATTGTGCAGAATTTTATGTGCACAGTTCTTTGCATGAAATATCTTGTGCACAGTTATTTGAATGTCACATTTATTCCTGCACAGTTTCCCATGAACAGTTTTTCGCCGCATAGTTACCTCGTTCACAGTTGGCATTCACTCGA